TTGTTTTTTGCAGCATGCACTGTGCGTACAGCTTGGTTTCTGAACGGTTCATAAAATTGCTGCTTAGTCAAGGTATTTGTGAGTGCTTTAGCATACATGTAGGCATACATGGACAAGGACCAATGATATAGAATAAATGCAGTGCTACTGTGACTGAGATTATATATGTTAGCCACAGCACAGAGAAATGTTGTCGTCATATATTTCTGATGAAAAATGTTGTCAATTATGTAAAATGAGCTTTTGGAATAATGAAAAACCGAGCAGCATTGTCTGCTGTAAAAATGTGGGCATGTCTGCAGAGGCACAGTGCAAATGGACTGCAGGGAGCAACACACAAAGACACTGTAGATACGACTCTGTTTAGACACCTGTGTGCTTATTTTAGTTTTACACAATTAGAAAATCCCTTTCATGTTGTTGTGTCATTCCCAGCTACATTTATGTTGGTGCTGGTGACATGAACCAGCTCCACAGAGTACTGTAGAGCTTTTCATGTTTTCAGCTATGACTTTAGAAAGAACTCTGAATTTTCTTGTACAGACTTTTTAGGTGGCCATGATGTTTATGATCAATATAGATTGTAAATATCATGATGAACAACCGTGCATAGGGCAAAAGTTTTAGATAAGCCCTGGTTGTTATAGTTGATTTCATGGATGTCAGTTCATCTGGAATTTCCTTTTCCCACATCGTCCTCCCACAGCTCTGTTAAAGCCCCCCACAGGAAATGCAGGGATCACATTTTCCCTAAAGTTAATCACACTGTTTGTTTTCTCTTTCAGTCTCTTCAGTCCGAGTACATCCAGTACTAAAAATACCCGACTGACCTGAAGACATTTTTCTTTTATTTTTTCTCTCCACAACCCGACTCCTAAATTGGATGTTCAGAGGGAACCTTCAGATCTTTTCAATGTCAGGACTGAATCTCCTGTGAGGTGATGGCTGCTTGCTCGTCAGACTGTAAATGAGCTGTCTGTAAATAAATAGTCCGCACACATGAAGATATATTTACATGGAAAAGATATATTTTATATTTGTGACAGAAAGTTGTATTTTTGTTTTAATGATCAGTGTAACTTTTTGGTAAAGTGAGGGATCAGCTGATGACAATTTGCTCTGTCATCATGGTTACAGTATTTCCGTCCGGCTTCTGATAGGTTAACCAGCATATTGTTTGGTTGATGTGACGATCAGCCCTCTTTTTTTGTGTTTGTGTGTCTAATTTAATCTAAAGGAATACCATTATTAATAGCAGAAGAATAAGGGACCCAAAAACAGAATGTCATTAACTAAGCTCAGGGTATTAAAGTGAGAATGGGTGTGAATGTGTGTGTTGTCTCTCACTGTACCTTAAAGAACCAGTTTAGTTTTTTAGCGTTGTGATTGTAAAATGAAACCTCACCTCTCTGAATGAATTTGTCAGACTGAATTAAAAGTTTGGTAACAAGGCACCATTTCCACTTCAGTACAGTTTAGAACAACAAGAAGTTAATTCAAGGCCAGATTTCTGATATTTTGGCTGCCATCTTTTATATACAGTCTAACCAGTAGAGCTGGAAGGGAAACAATTTAAAGGAGATGAACAGTAAATGGAAAATGATTAGCAGGCAGTGACGCATGTGGTTGTATAGTAATGAGTTTAAGCTGTGGGATCAGGGTTAGTTTTAGCCATGTGGACAGCAGACATCAGCAGACATGCGCTTTACACTAGAAGCACTTGTTGCTGTGAGTAGCATCAGGAAGCACTTTGTGTTTAGCTAACGGTGTCAGCCCGTAGAGTCCTCTTTTTAGGAATGACTGTGATCTTCTGTGTTGTTTTATGTGGAAAATAAGTGTTCTGTATTATTCTAAAGGTTATCGCCACAGGAACTTTCTCTAGGAAACAGGAAGTTAAACTTACTTTCTCTGCTGGTACGTCCTCCGAGAATGAGCCTCTAGATTAGAACACCTTTTACCTCCGGAAGCCCCCGTGACTATTTAAAGGTTTATGAACTTTAGAAACATAGAACCTTTTCTAGCACCTCAGGATTTTATTTTAATTTAAACTTGCAAAAACCCAAAAGTTGGACTCCTGTGTAAAATGTAAATAAATACAATACAAGGATTTGCAAATGTAGTAAACATATTTTATTCTCATTATAACACAGAAAACATGTCTGAGAACATGAGCTGAGAAAATGTGCCATTTAAGAAAAATATGAGCAGTGTCAGAAAGAGTGGGACACTTTCACATTTCCCACAGTGCAGCATTCCCTCTGCTTCCAACAGCATTCCTCTCTCCTCTGGGAGAGGAATGTTGTGCCTTTCTTGTCTGACAGAGGGTTGTAGCTGCGCAGCACTGCAAATCATTGCATTTAGTCTTTATTTACATTTCGAGAGTCCTAACAGTGTCTTTGTAATTTGGATTGTGCATAGATTAACAACTTAAGCCACAGACAGGAGTGAGAAGGTGTCATTGCACCATGTCATTTCTATCTGTGTGCAGAGGACTGAAAGTGAGACCACATCAGCTGACTAATGTGCTTCACGTTACTGCTGCTTTTAGCCTGCTGTAAAATACAGGTCACGCTGTGCTGGATAAAACAATGCCCGGTATAACTTTCCTGAAGCTTTAAATGCGCTTGATGATGACATCAGCACAGTGTTGTCTTCCTTTGCACTCATGGTGTGTGTAAGAAATGAGTTTATATGTCATTTGTGGCAGATTCCTGGGTCTTTAACATTATCGTGGGCAAATGAAATCAAATCTCCAGCTACCAACTCAGAGAGATCACTCGTTCTGAAATCTTTATTCGATGGTGATGTCCCTCGGTCACATGATGGTTTAACTAAACTGACGTGAAGTGCCTTAAATATCTCAGAAATAATCGTTTGGATGAAAGTCACATATAGTTCTGAACAAATTTATGAGACCACCGGTTTTACACGAGAACAAATATTTCAGACGTATTTCACAAACTTGTTTAAAACTGAAAATTACTGAATTCCCTGAAGTTTTTATACCCAAACTTGATCCGGGACAGTGGACTGTGAATCGAACGTAACGTCCAACCACTGAAACGAAACTAATTTTTCTGTTTGCAAATGCATATAAATAAGTGTAATTTGGCATCTGGATCAAAAGGTAATTTTATTGATCTCATTTCCAAGAGAGACGTGGGAATAATTATGTGCTTTACTGTTTTCTACTTTTTTTTTTTTTTGTAAAGCAGAAAACGTCAAAAGTCATGGATAACAACAATAATGATATTTTACAACATTAAAAATAAGATTTTCAATATAGAGCTTGGTCAGAGTTAGGTCGACTGTGACAAAACGTACACTAGGTGGTGGTCTAATACATTTGTTAAGCACCACAAATATAAGCAATGCACAGAAGGTTTTTATTTTTGCACAACTTGTTGCTGTTATGAAGAAGTGGAAATGGATGTCTGATGTGTATTTAATGTCTTACTCAAGTGTTTTACTGAGGGAACGTTTAAAAAACATTGTAGTGTTTTTTTTTCTTTTAACAGAATTTCTGTCTGAGCAATAACAGGAAATAAAACAATTCCTCCGACTCTGAGTTTGTTCTTGATCTGTTGATGCTACCAGAGTGTGGTTTGGAAAAAAGTCTGGAACAGGACAAGTCCAGGTCAGACCCAAAATCGAACCAGTCTTAAGGCTTCATTTAACCCTTAGGTTTTGTGGCTCTCTCCCAGTGGAGGTGCATGTAAGATGTTAAGGCTCTGAGGTGCCACCTGAGTGCAAAGATGCTTTTCAAGTTAAGGGACAAAAACGTCCTGCAGTGCTCGCACGTGTGCTCCCCCTATTCTGCACTCCGTCCAAGCAGCGCTTTCACCTGAGCCGTGCCGCTGTGTCTGCAGCTCACTGTTTCCTGTTGTGTGCTGCATTTGTGAATAAACTTTTCTGGACATGACCAACCTGATTCTCTACAACAGTAGTCCAAGTGTAAAACACACACATGTATACAAACAAAAGCCAAATCCAGCATAGAAGAAGCTGTCCCAAGTCCAAGACTAGTGTGGGATGAACAACCAAAGAAAGGAAAAGTGCAACACAAATAACAGAAGTGATGATTGAGTAAATCAGAGGTCGGATATCTCAGAGCCTGGGGTGGGGGGCTGTCCAGACCTCTGACTTCATCAGGAAAAGGATTGATTAGTCTGAATCCTCATCAAACTAATCAATACTAAATCACAGAGGCTGTGAATCACTCAGGCTGTGAATCACTCAGGCTGTTATCACAGTCTCCAGATCTTTCAATCAGTCAGGCAGAGGCCCCACAGTGAGAGCTTCACTGTATTCAGCTCATTTACTCCTTAATGTGATTCAGCATGTCTGCTGCTGCTTCATCAGCTCACTGACAGCAAAAGGAAATATTTGACTTTAAATGTATCTAAGTGAGAAGGCAGCATTGAAGTGAATTCATGTTCACGTTTTGTTAAAAGGTGTTAGTCCCAGCTTTTAGTCAGCTCAATAAAGGCATAATACCAGAAAACATACAGCATGTTTTCTTCTTTTTGGGATTCAGCCCTGGGAATTTCCCTCACAAAGTTCCTGCTGGGAGTCCAAGAAAAATACTGATTTGTCCTTCTTACTATAACCACTGCCTGTGACGCTTCTGTCTTGTGGGTGATTTAATGTCACTGAAAAAGATCGTTGAAAAAACATCAAATTCACATAAATAGAGAAACCAAAAGTGAGAGGAAAATAACCCCGGTGTGAAACGAGGAATATCACACGTAGAGAATAACTAAATTTAAGAGGAGCATGACAGAGAAAAAGATGGAAACGTGTAGTGCACAGACACGAGGAGAAAGAAAAGGCGACAGGATGTTGAAAAGAGAACGGGAGGAAAGGCCGAGGAGCAGTGAACACGGCACAAAGCGACGGTGAAGTTTTCCCGCTCATCGCGTGTCCCGCAGAGGGCGCTGTTGCCCGCGCGTGCACACACAGGCACTTGGAGCTGAATGACGGGAGGGGGCGTTTGCTTCATCAGCCCTGTTTAGGGCTTCAGAGACCCTCTGTGATTCATCATCGCCGGATTTTCTACTTCAGATCCCGAAACTCCGAGAAACGAGACGCTGCTCTGTTTGTTCACGAACCCATCCATCCATTAATCATCCGTCCATCCATCCATCAGCGTATTTGTGGCCTCAACAGAGAATGATGGATCTTCTGTGTGTCCGCAGGCTCTTTGTTCAGCTCATCTCAGGTAAATGTCCTTCCTTCTGATAAATCTGGTTGTTATGTGATGTGTTTTAAACGTAGAGAGATTTTTTGGGGGGTGGGGGGTTATTGTAACCTCTGGATTTTCATTTGAGATTTCGTTCGTCATTTTCTCGTTTTTTCATCAGCTTTCGTGCTTGTGGTTAGTATAGCGCAAATAAAGAATAAAAAGTAGAAACATGCGTAAAATATGAGGAAAATTCAAAAACTCACATTAAAAACCACATTCAACTTCATGAAAATATGAAATGTTTCATTTCCTTTGCAATTTACAGTAAACTCTTTATGTTTTGGTGTAACTCAATCAAAACAAACAAACAAACAAACCCACTAAAAACAAAACAAAACAAAAAAAAACAAAACAAGATTTGGAAACACGAGTGACAACACAAAAATGCCAGAAACTCCAATTCCTCTAATGGCCACTCGTGGATGGTTCTAAAAGTGGGTCAGTCTCAGGTTAAAACGCGCAGCTTCACAGAATTAAAACGTGTCTTTCCAGTATGGTACAAATTAAGCTGTTGGCCTGTGGATCGTTTCCCCTTCATAACTGCACTGATAGTGGGGGCAGGCCGTGGCTGCTTAGACTGACACCTGGCCACCTCAGTTCTTTTATTTCTAGTACTGAATTTGGGCTCCCCTTTTTATTGACTATTTTGTCATTTTTATCTCACAATCCATTAAATATTCCAAAATGTACCACAGAAACGATGGAGAGGTCCAGCACAGTTTACAAGGCGAGGCTGCAAGCCCCAGCAATCAAAGCAACCACACCCGTAATTTAAGTCTCGCCAGTATCCAAATGAACGAGTTCTAAAAACATGAGCTATCATAAAGTTTTTATGAAGGTGGAAGCTCAACAGAAACCAAAACTGTTTATTTGTACCAAACTGTAAATGTGCTTTCTAATGTTGTAAACGTGGGCATTTGAACATGGAAGCACAGATGAACTGCAGTTTTTGTCTCTTCTACACTGGCTAAATTGTTGTAGTCCCACAGGTTATTGCTTGGTAGACACACAAGAACATCAGGTGCTGATACATTTCCATCCACGTGGAAAACCTTCCTTTTCTCTTAAAATTCTTGACAAAGTAGTTGTTGAACAGCTAATGGAACGTCTGCAGGGGAATGGTTTATTTGAAGAGTTTCAGAGCTCATGACAGAAACAGCTTTAGTGAAGGGTACAAATGATCTTCTGATGGCCTCTGACAGTGGACTCACCTCTGTGCTTGTCCTGCTAGACCTCATGAACAAATTGTAGTCTAAAAGACTCCAATTTGTTCATGTAAATGAAGAGTCCTCTTCACACACTGAGGTTAATTACGGAGTTCCACAGGGTTCTGTGCTAGGACCAATTCTGTTTACATTATACATGCTTCCCCTAGGCAGCATCATTAGAAGACATAGCAAACATTTTCACTGCTATGCAGATGACACTCAACTTCATCTGTCCATGAAGCCAGATAACACACACAAATAAACTAAACGAAAGGAAAAACAACATAAAGACCTGGATGACCTCTAATTTCCTGCTTCTAAGTTCAGATAAAACTGAGGTTATTGTGCTTGGCCCCAAAATTTTAGAAATATGGTCTCTAACCAGATTCTTACTCTGGATGGGGATACTTTGGCCTCAAGTAACACTGTGAGGAATCTTGGAGTCATTTTTGACCAGGATATGTCCGTCAATGCACATATTAATCAAATATGTAGGGCTGTTTTCCTCCATTTGCACAATATCTCTAAAATTAGAAACATCCTGTCTGTAAGTGATGCTGAAAAACTAGTTTGTGAATTTATTACTTTTAGCTGGAACTACTGTAATTCCTTATTATTGGAATGTTTTAAAACTCCCTGAAGAGCTTTCAGTTGATCCAAAATGCTGCAAAAAGAGTCCTGACGGACTAGAAAAAGAGAGCACATTTCTCCTATATTGGCTTCCCTTCACTGGCTTCCTGTTAAATCCAGAATCAAATTTAAAATCCTGTTCCTCACATACAAGGTCTTAAATAACCAGGCCCATCTTATCTTAATGACCTTATAGTACCATATCACCACATTAGAGCACTTTGTTCTCACACTGCAGGCTTACTTGTGGTTCCCAGAGTAAATTAAAAGTAGAATGGGAGGCAGAGCCTTCAGCTTTCAGGCCCCTCTTCTGTGGAACCAACTCCCAGTTTTGATTTGGGAGAGTAAGATTAGTCTAAGTAAGACTTATCTTACTTTTAAGATTAGTCTTAAGAATTCTGGTGATTCTGAATCCTCCCTTAGTTATGATGCAATAGGTCTAGGCTTGCTGGGGGCTTCCCATGATATTTCTTCTTCGGTCACCTTTTTTCACTCAGTGTGTTTATACACCATTTTACATTTAATCATTAGTTATTAAAAATCTCTGTCTCTCTTACAATGTCTTTTGGCCTCTCTTCCTCCCCACAGGTCGTCTAATTATTGAGTCCCCCCCCTTTTATTATTATTATTATTATTATTGCAGCATCTTTGCTTTACAATATAAAGCACCTTGAGGCAACTGTTATTGTGATTTGGCGCTATATATTCATCAGCCTCATTCATACGTCATCTGTATTTGAGGCAAAGTTTACCTGAGGTTCAACTCAAGGTTAACAAACTCTAACTTTTCACTAAACCTGTTTTCTGGAACCTGGCCCAGCTATGTTGTTGCTTTGTATAATTTTTGTTGTTTCCATCCACAGCTGTGCTCCTGATGTCATCGAAGTACATTTCGGCTCTACGGGTGGACATAACTCCTGAAACAGCTCTGTTCGGTCTGGGTGAGCGTCAGCAGCTGGTCTGCTTGTTTCAGGGCTGTACCACAACGCCAAGTGTTTCCTGGTCCATTCTGGGGGACCGGCCTCTGAGCGGGTCCATCAGCACCAACCAAACTTGTTCTGTGTTGACCTTTGAGCATGTAAAGATGGAGCACGATGAAGCGATACTGTGTACAGTCAGCTGCAATGGAGACAGGAAACAAGCGAAACGCTCGGTGCAGGTTTACTGTGAGTTAACACTGAAATGCAGCATACATTTGAAACGTTATGTTATATATTTTCTTATTGCTCTATTTAAAACAATATGAGTTTAGTGCATTTTTGTCATTTTGCCTCTGTACACATAAAGTAGATTTTAAATCTAAGATCAAGATGAGATCGAAGTGCAGAGTGTGATTAGGATTTTGGATGAAAACCAACCTTTTGCTGAGAAACAGAGGTCTAAGACCCTTGCATCACCAAATACTGTTTCCTCCTCTAATATCCTACACCTTCATTTTTCATAACCACGTTTACTTTATTTTAAAACACTTGCTGTCACTTTAGGATAATTTTTCAAAGTGCAGGGTAATCCATTAGATTACTTCCGACCCTCCCAAGGCTCACATCACAGAGGAAGAAGAAGAAGTTTGATCTTGTGATACGTAGTTAGATTTGTGAAAGGGTCCATTCTAATCCAAACCGCGATCCTTTCCACACTATACCGAGCAGTTTTGGTTACCAAAACCAAGTGAAAAGGTAAACAAATCTTGTCTTTTAAGTCCTGCAAAAGACTTTAGGGGCTTTCATTCTCTCCCAGCAATATGCTTTTCTAGTGCATCACTTTAATTCTACTACAACAAACAAAAATCCACGGTAGCAAGTAAAATGTAACCCACCTCACTCTGAATCATTATGGACACCAGAATCAGCCTAATCAAAGCAATTTATTTCAATTTGTTTTTTAATCTAACTTGCCAACTAAAACTGGTAAACTCGCGATCACCCACCAAAACCAAAACTGCACAGACTTCTTGAAGGTCTGTAACACACCCTAGGTAATATTATTTGTCTGGCAATTTTGTTAAAAATGCTTCAAAAGGCGAAGTGCTAGCAGTCACCAGCTGGCTGACTGTGTCGGGACGCCTGTCTGTCAAAGTGGCGTTACCTTCATGCCTCACCAGCATCCACGCAGAGAAGTTAGCATTAAAAAAAACTGTGTGCTTATGAATTATCCAGACACAAAAACCACATTGGAACCAAACTTAAGGTGCTACAAGTAGAATTGCACTGTTTTTATTTACTATTAGACTGTTATTGTTATAAGAATTAATGCCTGCCCTCTGTGTCTCTGCTGTTCTAGCCTTCCCGTCGGACCCTGTCATCACAGGCCAGGATAATGTCAAACTGGGGGTAAAGTCCACCCTGACCTGCAAGGCATTTAACATATATCCTGATGAGGAGGTGAACATCACTTGGCACAGTGGGAACACTATTCTGCAGACCACAGTGCAAGATGGTGAATCCGGGGCAGTCCAGTCTGACTACAACTTCACAGCTGAAAACACGGATCAGGGAAGAAATATCACCTGTAGGGTCACACTGAAGCTGAAGGACCTGCCAGATAACAAGAGGACCAGAGAAAGCGCAGTGCCAATAAATGTCCTATGTGAGTCTGGGTTTGGTTCTGAGTCCTCACGTCTGAGTCTTGTTATCCGTGTCCTCATAAACCCGACTTCTCTGTCTCCAGATGCTCCTGTCGTGAAGAAGTTGGAGTCTAAGGAAGTTATGGCCGGCTCTCCGCTCACTCTCACCTGTTTGGCAGAGGGAAATCCTGAGCCGACCATCACCTGGAGTTTCAGGACAGCAGATGGCCGAACTCTGCAACGCGGTCAAGGCGGTCAGCTCAACTTCACAGCGGTGGAACTGTCCGAGGCTGGACGGTACGAGTGTGATGCGCAAAACACGGAAGGAACCCACAGTAGCACCGTGGACGTCACGGTTCACAGTGAGTGATGGTCCTGTTTCACTCTTAGTATGTGCACTTCCTTTAGTTTCAATGAGTCACTTGTGTCCCTTGTGTCTCCCTAACAGGTCCACCCACTAACACCTCCCTCTCTGTAATTCCGGGTGAGGAGGTGGTGGAGGGTCAGCAGGTAACTTTTGTCTGTAGCTCAGAGGGTGCTCCACTCCCCAGACTGGTGCTGAGCAGGAATGGGACAGAACTTCAAAGCGTTGACAGAGCGTCCACGATAATCTTCAACCTGTCTTCCGCCCTGCTCGAACACTCTGACGTCTACCAGTGTGATGCCTCTAATCTGTACGGATCCCAGCTGGCCTCCAGCTCCATCACTGTCAGAGGTAATCTTTCCTCCAGTTTGTATCTTACAAGGTGATCTCAGAAAAACTCTTAAAATTTTAATATGAAATGAAATTAATGAAAGTACCTCATGTGAAGGTACTCCTAAATGACCATCATGTGTTGGGATGGACGTCTCTAATCCCATTTCCTGATCCTTCAACCTGCTGTGAATATTCTTCCTCAGATGTCACACCAGATTATTGCAGACATAAAGCATCATAGTTACAGATTATATCACAATATCTATCTTGCAATACAATTGATATAGTCATCAATTTCATTTGTAATTTTTCAGGTGCAGGTCAAATGTCTCGTTCCTCCAACATGAGGGTGGAGTTGTAGGAACAGTAATGAGAAGTGTTACATTTCTTATCAAAACATTTCTTGAGTTTGATCTCATAGCCCTGCAGCCACAGAGAAAGGAACCTCTGTAGTAAAGCGGAGGCTTAGCTATAATTATTGATTAAGCTACAATGGACCAGACCCAGTTTAACCACTTTGC